ACTCGAATCACTGGCCACCCTTCTTGCATATAGGGTCAGGCACGAGGCAGCATGATGTGAGGCACAGGTATGGGAGCAGGAGAAAGACAGGAAATGCATGGTGGGATGTGCAGGAAAAGGGCATCGGTGAGAACAGAGGGATGAGCCCTGAATAATACCAGGAGACTGAACTTCGTTACCCCTTGCAACCCTGGCACACATCACATGCCCAGAAGCCTCATCACACTATGTGCCAGCGGGCAGCCAGCCCAGCGGCACTGATTGCTGTAGGAGTAGTAGCCAGTCTGACACTCCTGTGCAAAGAACAAGATCAATGGGGGCAGATAACAAAATCTTCTAAAGGACCAGGGAGATGGCAAGAAGATACAGATTTGAGAGCCTCTGCTGCAAAGGGAGGCTTTGAAATTGAGGGTGCCATGACTCAGAGAGGGAAGAGACCTGATGCAGACAGTCTCCTGGCTCTAAGCCGCAACTGCTCTGACCAGTTGTTATTTTCCATCCTCTTCGTATGCGCAGATACAAAATGGCAAAAGTTTTTCCCCACTGAGTTGTTCAGAGAAAAGCCTCAAGACTGGGAATGAAAAACAGGACAGGAGAACCCCTTCTGCTGGTCTGACATTTAATTTCTCTATTGCAAAGAGAGGAAAATCCCTTTTTATTCCTCTACAGTTTTTATTATTTTATGATTCATTTTATTATTTTATTCCTCTCCATTGCAAAAAGAGGAAGAATCTCACGGAAGAGCAGCTGTTTACTGAGAAGGGCTCACGGCATACCCAGGAGCTGTGAACGTAGGGCACAGGGCACGCACAGGAGATCTGCAAGCTCCTCACTTTATCTCCCCAGCAGAGAGCTCTGCGCAAGGGGGCTGGCACTGTGCTCTCTGAACCAGCAGTGTTTTTCCCAGGAGTTAATTTTCTTTATATCTAACTGAAAAAAAGCATCACTAAGTTCTGCACAGCCTCTCTGAAGGCATTCTTGTCTTGATGGACATTTCTCTACGAGGTTTATCTCCCTCTCTCTCTGCTTCAGGCTGTTTTCTTCCATTTTGAGGCTAGAAAAGCTCTTTCCCCGGCTCCCAGAGCAACTGGGTTGCCCACCTTTCTCCCTTGCTGTTGATTTCAAGCCCTCTCTTCCCTCCCAAGCAGTGCTTAGGTCTCCCATCACTCCCTCATTTCTTTTTTTTCCTCCCACTTTTCTTTTGCTCCCTACCTCTACATTGTAGGCTCCTATTTGGCTTATATATTTGGTGCCTGTCTGCACATCTTGCCAATCCCCTGCAAACCCCTACCACATTGCCCAGACAGAGCTGACCTTTTTGCACAGGTGTACCAGTCTCATCGTTTTCCAGGCTTCTGTTCATTACTAAGATGGTGGGCAAATTTGTTAGGGAGAGAGAAGTGAACAAGGCAGATATCACCTACCACAGCTTGTATTACGTGATCTAAAAGACTAGCAAAATGAGTTAAATTATCTTCATTATTAAGAGATACCCAACTTGTTATAGATAACCCAATTTGTTATAGCTTTTATAAGCAGCAGCAAAGGGATGGGTTTATTATCTCATTAAAAATGCCTATTTCAATTTGCATAAAAAAATGAAAACTTATGAAGCCAAATAAGAAGGAAATCCTTTAACTATCCTGTTTCTCACAGGCTGCAAGTTGCAAAGTATGGAGGAAGCTGATAATGCTCTTTCAGTTCCCGAGGACTTCAAGCAGCTTAAAAAAGTTATATGACATTAGCAAACGCCATTAATAAGCTCACTAACATCTCGCTGAAAAGCAAAAGACAGATATCTACAAACCTGTCGAAGCATAAAACAATATAGGAACATCTGAAGATAAATCTATTGACAAGGAGGTCTCCAGCACATGAGGTTAGTCACTAGTAGTTTTGGGCGATGTGGGAAGTTTGGGTAGCAGTGTCTTCCACTATGGGAATACTTGGAACACCCCAATCAGCTTTGGCAAGAAGTGGATAAAAATAGATGCAGATGTATTTGTGGCTTCTACACACCACTGGTCACAAATCATGTTTGGGTTCTTCACCACATTAGTTCAAAGAAGCATTTAAATGAGCAACTCCCAACACTTACGAGAAAGGGGCTCCTATGGTATATTAAGGTGTCTCTAATAATGCCACACAGAAACAATAACTAGGCCCAAATTCTCTTTCAGATCTCTTCCCTTAATACAAGATTTATTAACTTGAGCTGTGTTTATTGGCATCCAACTGCAGGGAGTAGACAGATCTCCAATTGGCTGTGAAAGTTTTCATCATCCTTAAGTACCAGGAAAAGAATTTCCAGATCCAATTAGCAAAGCCTCCGCCCCTACAGTCTGAGCAGTTGTGCTGAGTATCATTAATCACTCCATCAAATGAAGCATTCACCACCCTCCTGGTAGGAACAAGTTACTGAAAAATAATCCTCATTACAATTCCTATTTAGTATTACATTGCAATACATCTGACAATGATGTTTGGGGTTTATGTTTAACTAAACCACGTGTACATGCAGTTGGTTTAAGTATAATGTAAAATACCTGTATATTTATCTGGGTTTATCAGCTCTCCTTCTCTGTGACCTACCAGTAAATATTGCATCAGATGCCTGCGTATATTATATGCAATCTGATTCATCACATCACACATGGTATTCAGGCTAAATCTGCCTAAAACAGCAAATAACAAACAGCAGCATAAACAGGGCATCTTCACAACTCTCTCCTTTTTGGCTACTTGCCTACTCTTGCACTGGAAGACCTGCTGCACTAGAGAAGTTGGTTAATGTTTGCACTTGCACAGCTCCTGGAAGACTAAGGCACTCAAATAGCAGAAATTAATATTCACAAAAGAGCTGTCAGGGGAAAAGGAAAAGTTTTCCCTAAGGTGCACTGTTACTGTACAGTGTGTTTGACTGGCACTTCAGCTCCCTTTCCTTCACAGGGAAAAATATGAGATGCATAATCTGTACTCCTGACTTTTCCCCATCCAATTAGTACGTTGTTTTAAAGGATTCCTGCCCTTAAGTAGGCAATATAATCTGACAAATTTACATAGATGTGGTCTGGGTTATGGCATCTTCTGACACAACAGGCTTCAAAGTAGAAAGTAATGCTGTCTTCCAGAGAGGCAGGGGGACAGGATACAACCAGAGACTTCTGAGGACTCAAAGGCATGTCTCTCATCTGATCTCACAGGAGTGGACTTGTCCACAAGACCTTATACGATGAACAAAATGAACTGAAATCTGACTCAGTGCTACCAAAAAAATTCAAGAGACGGGGAAGGTTTATAGCTTCAGTGGTCTGAGCACAGCTTTGAACATCATTGTACAGTTCAACAGTGAAAAAAGGCATTTTGCAGCCTCAGCTGTCTAGTCTCTTGCTCTACCACTGTACTGAGTAATGCCACAGAACACTACTAAGATCACTGCTCAGCTTCAAACCGGGTTAATGGTCAGGTCCTAAATGCAACGAGATCCTCAGATGAAGACAGGCCAGAGAAGTCCATCTATACCTCCCGCTTGCGTATTTATGGCTTTGGCTAAGCTCTGAGTGCAGTGTACACAGAAAGGTAGAAGAACAAAGACTGGGATTTTCAAGGGGAACTCAAGGCCTTCTCCATCCTCTGAAACAGTGAAGTGTACACATGATAAGCCAAGAGAGCCTCTCTGTGTTGTAGTCACATGCTCCATGGAAGCTGTAATCTCACAAGGACACAGACACGGCCATGCAAATATGGGTTATGCCTATGCTAACAACCATCATGGGTCCCTAGAGCTCCTAAGTGGCTTTTAATCTAGCTGTTAATACGTGTGAAAGCTTGTGCTGAAGCAGCTTCATTTCTCTTGTGCTCCTGTTAGCCAGCAACGTACTACCCTTTGATACCCTTACTTGAGAGGTGAGGACATAAGCTGGCACCTTCTAGGTTTAAACCTTTGGAGGTGAAAAGGAGAGGAGCTCCCTGCCACACTGGGGACAGATGTCATGACTGCAGGCAGCAAACACAGCAAGAGAGTGGTTGGTAATAGGCATTGAGAAACTAGCTGCATTTTCAACATCCCCTTCAACCAAACCACTTCTAACATGGTCCTTGCAACAACCAGGCTGAAGCGGTATAGGTACACTTATCCACGCTGTCACCAGTGTTTCGCTCTGCATGGCTTGCCTTGTATTAAGTAATATATAACATACCGTAAAATCTTAGTATAGGCTGAACAAGTTGCAACATACCTCAGATGGTCAGAGCAAACCTAACTGCAAAGCATTAGAAGATAATTGTCTTTGTGTCTGCTCAGCACCAGCCTGTGCAAGGCTCCTGCGTCAGAGAGCTGACAGCAAAATTTCAGATGTGGGGGAGGAAGAAAGCAAACACAGGAGGGAAAATGCCACAAACATCTTAAGGGGAGGGCTTGTCTTAATGGATTTTTGTCATTATTTAATTCAATCATGGGTAAAGTCCAAACTTCCCAAAGACAGCCTGAAAAGAAGAATGTGTCTCTGTTTCAAGACCCATCAATAGGTACTTTCCCAAGGTTAGTACCTGCACCAGGCATTTGGCTCGGCGGGTGCTCAGCATCACTGGCTGCACAGAGAAATGCTTGACCAAAAGCGTTCAAACTTCTGCCAAGAGCAGTGTGGGTCCCTCCACGCAGCCATGCCCAGGGGGACCTCAGAGAGAGGGGGCCTTTGTACAGCCCTCGAGATGACTCCCAGTGCCAGAAGCAACCTGGCACAGGAGCACAGCTGAATCACAGCTGCAGCAATTACACTAATTGTCCGAGGGACGAAACAATTGCACTTGTCTGACTGGTCAGGGCATGATGGGAGCCCGACACATTTTTATTTGTGAAAGCATTTTGCCTTGAAGTAGATTTCCAAACCAAAGTCCCTTTAACTCCAAGCCTTTTCAGATTTCTTCCTGGCAAGTGCAATTTATTCTTTCTAAAAAGGAGAGTTTTAAAAGAGATGTTACCCGGGAGAGTGAGATCTCACTGCTGTTGGCTTTCACCGCCATCTGTGAAGGAGGTAACCCTAAATTTCCATTACACTGTGATAAGAATTGAGGCCTCAACTCCAACCAGCTCCCTGAAAAACACCTAGGATGCAGCTCAAGGTCCCTTTTCCTGGTTGCACCACTGTTCCCCATCAAATGGGACTGCTTCTGTTATGGAGATCATCCCTGACCCCATGTGAGCCGGGGTCTCCAGCCCCCACCTCGGGGCCAGTGCTTCCCCACAGCATGGCACAGCAAGTGCTGTGGGAGAGTTGGGAAAGGCCCATCTTGAACTTGCTCATGCACAAGCCATAGAGGAAGATTGTGATTGGTCACGCCAGGAGCTGCACTCACACTCACGTATAGGCAACGCAGCACACGCAGACACACGTGTGACTCAAAGAGCAGCACTTTGCACCTCCTTCAGAGGCCAAAATAATCCAGACTGATGCACAGTTACAAGTGCTGGACTCACTGCAGGTGCAAACCCCGCACCAGCTAAGAGCCCCAGACATTCTACCAAGCTCTTGCAGGTGCAAAGCAAGGCAAGTGACCTTTCCCTCCCATTGCCCACAGGAGCTGCTGACAGCATTGAACATCCTGACCACTACCAGCAAGGGGAAAATCTGGGGTTTTCTGCCTGTTTCCTTAGGATCACAAATGGCAAAACTGATGGGGAAAGGTGAGTCTGCCTCAGAGAGCCACAGTGTTGTGGGGCTGGAGGGCAACAGCAGCCTCCATGGTTGGCAGAACTCAGAACCAGTCTCCAGGCACCCTGGTCACCTTGGTCACTCCAACACATTTTTGGTCCAAACACATCTCCGTGGCAGTTGTCCCTTCTTACCTGGTGCAAGTAAGGCCTCAGGAAAGGGAGAGGGGATCTGTGTCCCATGGAGGAGATGAGCTTTAAGGGTGAACTGGACGGAGCCAGGGCAAGAGACAGCAGCAGGGACAGCACGGATGGCCAGGTGAGCATGGGCAGGGAGATCAGCCCATAGCAAAAGCAAAGCAGAGTCCAGCTTCAATTTCACCTCTGAAATGTGGTTTGGGATCAGATTTGCAGAGAAGTAATCTTCCAAGGGAGCAGAGCATGTCAGAGAGGAAAGGACTCCTCTTCCTACACGCTTCAGCATGTTTTAAAAGGCAACATAAGCTTGTGTTTAAGTCAGTTATATAAGGGTTGCTTTCCGAAAGATGAGTGAAGGAGTTATCTACACAAATGTTGACACAGGGAAAACAGCCATGGCCCTTTGCAAGAGAAAATATCCCCCTCCCTGGCCCAGGGAGGTGCAAGTTCAATGGCTGAGGATTTTGTTTTGTTTTCAATCTGGGTTTCCAGCAGGTCAGCCCCGGTACCTTTGCCATCAATAAAAGCTGCGGATGGAGCAGCATGGCATTACAATGGGCTCATTGTAACCACGTATTTCCACTTAACAAGTGACTGCCAGCCCATATTTGATTAACACCATTAAGAACGAGTGGCCATTGTTTACCTTGTAATTTATTAGAGGTAGGATTTCCAAAAGAGACTTCAAATAGGCACCTAATTCTTACAGACTTTATTATAATTGAATACCTAGCTTCATTAAGCGCCTCTGAAAACCCAGTCTGAAATGATCTGGCAGGAAGAGAAATGCTCTGTGTGTTAGGACAGGGCCTGTCCTTGGCATTTTTTAAAGGGAGGATGCAAGATTTGCACGAACTGAAAGACTAACCCGTGGCTTTGGCAATTTGTAGACCACAAAGAAGGATCTGGCTGGCACAGCGAAGGAGGCAGCCTTTGTAACGGGCAGTGAGAGTGCTCCACCACACAAGACCCCGCTCATCTGCTGCGCAGACGGCCTTGATCAGGACACCTTTAAAATTGTGAGATACGGAATAGAATTTAGCAGTAGAAAAAGTCAGTGGCATCTCAGGTTTGAGAGAGAGGGAGTGAATAAAACCCAGGAGCCTGGCAGACGGAGCAAAGAAGCAGGACAAGACACTTCATTCTGTAGCTTTCTTCTATGTCTAAAAGTTTTTTAACTCATCATTGTTTTCCAGTCATCTGGACATCATACCTTTAGTTTAAAAAAAACAACCAAACCACAAAAAAACCCAAACCAACAACAAAATAATCAAATTTCACATACACTGTTCAGTTTTTCGAAACAAGTACTGCAACATTATCATTTCACATGACGCCACGAACTCCCTGGCTGCGGTGGTTTGGTTCCTCTGCATCACTGGCACCGCAGCCACAAAGCTCCATCTCATGCCGTCCTCCCCCACTGTGGGATATGACCTTCCCATTCCCAGTGCAGCCTGGCATAACACAGACAGCCCCAGTCACGGCCCAATGCACATAAGAAAAAAAAAAAAAAAAAAAAAAAGAGGCACAAAATGGAGGGCATCGAGACGCAGCATTTGCCCCTGCGTCACGTGCAAACATTTGCAACACATCCCAGATTTGGCCACAGGAAGAAGCAGTGTGAGAAAAGCAGTAAAGCGGTTCCCTTCCCCCTCCCTGCAGAACAGCAGCTGGTTTGTAATAGCCTGAAATTTATACCTTTCACCCTACAGTGTTGAAAATTAATTTCCAGTCTTGGAAATCCCTCAATCCCTTTTTCATGTCACCTTCGACATGCTTCACCCAGGGTGTCACCAACCTTGGGACATGCAGGAGCGATTCCTGCAGAGTGATGGGAGCACCAGACAGAGGTCCTGCTGAAGACCCACACCAGGTCCCCCATGTCCATGCAGGAGACACTTATTAAAACATTTCAGTGCTTTCCCAGCTATTTAATCATTTTATTTAGTGAAAAGGAATGCCTGATATCTGAACTGAAATTGCTGAACACCTATGCCAACATTTTTTCTTTACAGTGCAAGGAGCTTTTCAGACCCTTTAAGAAGTCACTTAGGAAACTGCATTTGCCTCAGCACATCCCCAAAGGCAAAAAAATGAAGTACATGAAGGAAAGTTTGACCATAATTGGGGAACGCATCGATCTGTTTCTCCAGCAGTACTGCAGAGCCTCAGAAGTCAAGCACTGGCAGAAGTAAGGGTCTTCTCTTACCTGGCACCGGTGGTACCACACTGGCGACACTCCCAGCGTGACGGGATCCTGCCCCTGCTGCTCCCAGTGGGCATATAGACACGTACTTTGGCCCGACATTTCCAGGCACTGGAAACAAGTTTGGGTATCTACAAGAGATTTGTATAGCTTGCTCTAATTGCCAAATACTCACAGATCTTGCAGGAAATTGTAACAGAGGCCATGCGGTACCTGGTCCTGTCCAGCGGAAGGCCAATTTTGATGTGCTCCCCATCAGCAACATCCCTTCGCAAGTAAAGGGGCAACTTGAGTTAACGGATAACCCTTCCCATGTTTAGGGAAGAGCAGTTCTTTAAGAGCTTATAAGCTTTGGGGAGGTGAAAAGAGGGAAAGAAAAAAAAAAAAAAGCTGCACAAAGGGTATGTCAGTGGTTACACTCACCAAGCCAGAACTAGAGACAGCATGAGGAAAAGGATGAAGTTTGTACTCACATGCACAATCTGTGTGTCTGTCTTTCCAAGGATGTTGTGGCAGTTTGTCTCCCTCTTCTCCGAGATGGATGCAGAGCAGCTGCACAAGCTGTATGAGCACATCAAGAACAACCAAACAGATGAGTTTCTGGTAAGCAAACAGGAAAGTTAATACCTTGTAAGGTGTTCCCGCTGTACTAACTTTAAGGGGATAACTATACCATGCAGCTTACATGGGTTGATTCATGTCAAAGGAGAAACCTGCTACCAAGAAGTCTGTTTATTGAAAGGCAAGGGGTCCTGCAAGTACTGCTAGTTCCCACCATAACGCACGCACTGAGCTATCGTAGCTGCCAGCAGCTTTCCCTGCCTAGCTCTGGGAAGCTGAGCTGGTGTCCGCAGCACCATGATTTATGTTTCCAGTCATGCTTTACAGACCAAATCTGATCCATATTTTTATCTGATTATATAGGAGTTAAACTTTGAAACAAACAACTAGCTCAAGTAAAGTCAAATTCACCAAAGCTCATTTCTGTGCCTGAGCATCAGCTGCAGGAGGAAACTGAAAGGAGCATTTTCCCAAGAACACCAACTCTGAAGGGTTAACCCATCTGAGCACACTCATAGCCAACCATAAACATATCTCCTGAGCAAAGGCTGAGTATACCAGGAAGTTCAAAGGTCCAAAAGAAACACATACTTTAAGAAGTTTATGAAAAAGAAATTAAAAACAGACCTACAATTAAAAAAGAAAAAAAGAGAAGTCAACTAGGAAATTGTTTTCAGTAAATTAGAAAACGGCAGCAGGGGAGACCTGAGACCTTGTTGGGTTACCAGAGCACTGCTTGCTTTGTGTTAAAAAGGGAGCTGTGGTCATCGGATAGCTGGCAGTGATAAGGCCATAAATAAGTTTGGGGCCGCAGGTAAACAGCTGTCCCCTTTCCAGTTAGAGTGAAGTGGGGAAGCTGGCTACACGGTTTTGGCTTTTAGTTTATGGTGAAGCAAAACTGTTTATTTTTAAGGGTCTAAAAAAAATTTTCCAAAAATGAGGAAATCAAACCTGTTGTAAAGAATAAAACCCCCAAACACAAATTCCTGTTGCTAGCGTGAGACACCCGAGATTAATTGGGAGATATTAAAAAAAGAAAAAAAAAACAAAAACAAAACAACCACCAACTGGCAGCCCCGGGAAGCAGGTGGCGACAGGCGTTCTTACTCCCTTAAACTTGTGAGCGCTGCAGAGGGTGAATCAAGCTCCATTTCCATCATGGCCCTTCTTAGAGGCTCAGCCAAGCCCAGGACACAATCTTGGCTAAGGACAAGCCCCTGCTGCTCCAGCAGGGCATGTGGCTGAGGGTCGCTTCCCATTTCCACCTCAGAACAAGTATTAAAAAGCAAATAACCCCCCCAAGTGCCTTCCCATCCTTTCGCTCCTGTAAATAAGAACCAGAACCAAAGCACATAATTCCACATCTTCTTTTCCAAGGAGGAAAAGCAAAAAAAAAAAAAGAAAAAAAAAAAAAGTGGTGCATGACAAGCATTAGTCACGCTGCGTCGTGTGCTATCAGGATGCACCGGTGCGTGCCGGGGACCGTGCACCAACCTGCAGCCAGCAAGAGCCTGCCGGCTACGGCTGTGCTAGCAACGAGGCTGCCTCCAAAAAGGCCGACAGAAGAAGCGACAAATTCTGCCGTTATGTAACGGTTGACAAATGCCTTTTGTGATGCAAGACAAGTGGGAGAAAAATAAGCATCTTTGCCCTTTGTGGGAAGGGAACAGCAGTCAGCTCCCTGCTAAAGCATAAACAACAGGCTGTGGATCCGGGGGGGACCGGCGCGCTCAGCGCAACAGAAATAGATTATTTGGAAATGCCTCGTTATTTAGATGAGTGAGCATAAAAATACAGAATCGATATGTAATTAGTAAGCAATTGAGGTTGTCAGCATGGTAATTTGATAATTTTGTGAGTTTTGTTAAAGGAGAGAGGCTGGTGAGCAGCCATCCACTAGCCTTGCTCATCAGTCATCTTAAAATTAGGGATCTACATCCCCTTCCCTCACATTTGGGCTTTTAGGAAAAAAATTCTCTTTTTTTCTTTTTTTCTTTTTTTAATTAAAAAAAAAAAAAAAACCAAAAAAACATGTCTGAATTTAAACACTGGTCCTAACTCTGTTTTTAGGCTTACTGAAAATATCAGACCAGAACGACTTCTCAGCTTAGAGCTAGAACAGAGCATCATTTTCCTTTGCAATCTGACTCCCATACACTGCTGAAAAATGTAGAAGTCAGCCCCATGTCTTGTTGTAAGAAGGTAAAGAAATAAGCCTTCTAGGATGAGACTCTGGAAGTTTTTTAACGAAAAAAAAAAAAAGACAAGTCAAAGAGCATGACTGCTGGCAACACCAAAATTATTTTTCTCGGGGATCGCCTAGAAGGATGTGCAGAGCGGACACCATTCGGCTCTGTGCTACCATCCCACCACCCTTCGGATGTTCCGCACAGGGACCCACCGCTGTCCCCAGCCATCCTCCCAGTGCACAGAGTGCCATAAGGCGACAGTGACATCCAGTGGCAGCGCACACCCCTCCACAGCACCCCCCCACCCGGAGCAGTGGGGCTGAGCAGCACTCATGTCCCATTACACACGCTTGAGCCTTGGTTCGAACACAGCCACCAAATGGCACTGTCAGCTACTGACCTGCTCCCCAAAGCACCTGAAAAACACTCGTCCTCTCACCAGTGTGCTGAGAAGGGTTCTTGCTTTAAAACACAGATTTTAGGTGCTTGGGCAGACTGGGCTGGGTGAGTTGGGCTGCGCAACTAGTTGGGCGTCAACGCAGTGGAACAGAGACAGCACAGAAATTGTGGCTTCGCAGAGGCCGGCAGGACTGGCTGCGGGGTGGGATGGAGCCTCAGATCTCAACTGCGAGGAACAAACACTGCGTAGGGCGAGGATTTGTGCAGACAGTACAGTCATTTCTCAGCTCATTGCTGCTGCCACCCAACCCAACAGGACCATGGTTAAGCAAGAGTTATTGCCCAAGCATGAGTCAACGTGTGGTGTTTGCTCACATAAATATCTTTAAAAGTGTTTTGGGGTTTTTTTTTGTTTTCTTTTGGTCGGTTGTTTGGGTTTTTTTAAAGCAATTACGCTGTCCTTCAGAAAACCCAGATTCAGTTCCAGGACTCAAAGAAGAGAAACTGCAGCAGCTTTACATCATTTGGGGTCTCCACAGAGGTACAAAAGACCTGCAGGAACACCCAGGTCAAAGAGACAGTCACCACCAACACACCCACAAAGTCACCGCCCAGCAGCAGGACTCACATAGCCAGCGTCAGATTGGCACCGAGCAGGAAAAGCATTTTCCTGCTCAAGTACAGCCAACTACTCTTGGCATTTTTGCAAAAGGATCAGCAGGTGAAGACGTGCTCAGTGGTGGAGCTAGAGGAGTTGGGCAGGTGGAACTGCTGTCTTAGAAGAGACATGGGAATAGGACACACCGCAGCAAGAGAAGCTACTTAGTGTAAGGCAGTAGTAAGGAAGAAGACATCCCTTTGTTGGCCCGCATCCGTTGGCGTTAATTAGTGCGTTTTTACATAGCAATCTGGATGCTCAAAGCATAGCTGTGGTTTGCCTTTGGGCCCACCCTCACAAAGCCACACATGCTTGTCTTCTGGAGCAAAAATGCAGACCAACCTGTAGCAGGCATGTTTGCTAACCGGAGTCACTGGCAGCCTGTTTACTCCAGCCAGAACTCCGGCAGACGCAAACCCCGAAGGAGGAATGAAAAAGGGACGTTAGGAGCAATTGCTGACAAGATCGGCTTTGCCACAAGCAGGTGCCACAGTCTGCCTGCAGAAGGAGGATTTGTCCCACATAAGCCTATTTTCAAGCTGCTAAAATGCAATCACATGTCCTGTGGGAGTGCTCATGCACTCATAACCATCTTGCTTTTCATCTCTTTTCTCCCCAGTCTCGCTATTTACCTCTAAAAAAGTCCAATCTGGTATGCAACAGCTCTGAGGGAGCACTTAAAATCCAAATTCATAAACTAAAAGTCAAAAAACAGGAGCTAGCTAGACAGCATGATCTGGGAGGCTGAGTAGGAGTCCCACACTAACCTGCTGGCTGTGCGGCTCCAGGCAATCCTCCTCTGCTTGTCTGCTCCCCTGTAAGAATGGGGAAAACACCACCCAACCAATGCACCAGAGACACAAAGTGCATGAAATACTAAAAATTAGTGCGATTGAAATGTACTGAGCGTAGCAAGGGTTTGGGATTGCTGGTTGCCCGAGAGCCTGGGGGTGAGCCATCACGAGCAGCCTGGTGTTCCTATATATTTCTGGTGACAATGTATTTGTGGGATTAAACCATATGCAGAATCCACCCAGTAAAGCCCCAGAGGACAGCTTGGGCACACCAGTGTCAGCTCCTGTGGGAGATACAGCTTCTCAGAGGAGTTATGCCTTCCATTTACTTTCTGGGGTTGTGGTTTTTTTGTTTGTTTTTAAGGTTCCCAGACAACTTCAGAGTTCAATGGCAAGACAGAAATCGATTAATACAGTATCACCACCTGAACAAAAAGCAAGGAATAAAGACAGTCTCCATGGTTTCCCAAAGCCACAAAATACTGAAATACTTGCAGCGTCATAGCAACAAGCTACAACCCAAGCAAAATTAAAATTCTGCTATTTAAAACCATCTGATCTTAATTATTATTATCTTGGAGTTTCCTAACAGCTGTGCACCAGCATCAAGACTTGATGAAGGATGTGTAAGTATCAGACCTACCTTTATACCTCCTTCTTTTTGTATAAACCCCAATAACGGAAGAACAGCGCTTGTAAGGAAGCGGGCAGCTGCTCCTTTCCTTGCTGTGGCAGAAACTCTTCTGACAAGAGCAGGGTCCGTTTCCCGTTCATTTCTACTCAAACGTACGCACACGCACGCAAACCCTCCACATGGTCAGCAGCCGTGCTGACAGGAGAGGAGGGAACGAAAGAGGAAGGGAAGAGACTGGCGTACAGAATATATTCTGGTTAAAAAAAAAAAAGAAGTTTCATAACGTTTACACATACAGTTGCCGTTTCTGACTGTTCTAGGCAAATAATGGCCATGAGCCCGTACACACATCAGTGTTCTTGGCAGCTGCTCCAGCTGCCATCCATTGATCCAGACGGAGACGGCTGGAGCCCTGCTCGACTGCTGCTGCAGGAAGAGACTCATGTGAGAGCTAATGCTTCAGGACAGGAATAGCGAGAAGCGAAAGTAGGAACAAAAATTGGGCCTTACGGCTGGCTAGATTTGATTTACAGTGGAATCCAGGTTTTAAGAAAACGTCGGAAACATCAATAGCTTGGCATGGAAATCTTTTAGTCTGACCAGTAAAAAAAACCCCCAAAGATCCTTCCTTCCTACATGCTAAGAATCAGACAGTTGGGTAGGGGGCTTCCCTATTGTCTTCAGATCTGAACCCGAGCAAGAAAACCCCCTCCTAGATCCCTTTGGAAGGGCAGATAACACAGGCCATTTTTAGAATCAAAACAACAGATTTCCTTTTTAAATGGCATTTTAGATCATATCCACAGACCTTGGCAAGAGACGAAAGGCCCTGGCTGCGCTGCCCGCGGAGGCGCCGCTGCCAAACGTACACAGAAGAGTGTTCACGAGAGGCAGCGAAGGAGGATGTCGCACGTTGCCTTCACTGGGCCATAGATTCAGCTTCTCGTGTTGGGTTTCATCACGCGTAAGAGCAGACATGCAGTTATACTGGGGAATCCTGACCACTTGCGAGGTGCAGACCTGGTTCGGCAGCAGAACACAAGGAATTTTCTTTAGAATAACAGATTATTTCCTTCAGCCAAAGGTTTTGAGCTTTCTCCATAGCACACACTGTGTAAACCACGTGCAGTATCACACACAGCTGCATCAGAAAAATACTGTATGCCCTCAAAATGTCACACTTGTTTAAAACAAAACTGAGCAAGATTAAAGCCTGCTCGAGACTTGGATTATTCTACGGTTTTTCCAGTAGGACTTGAGGTGACTTAAGAGTGACAGGAAAGCTCTCAAGGAAAACTGAGCTCTGCCAGAAATAACCTCATCGAGTTTCCTGACCGGATGACATGAGCAAAGAAACGTAAGACAAAAGGTTTCACCTTCAGAGGCCCTTGCTCTAAACGTGTGATGAGAAAACCTTTGGTGTAAACTACAGGGTGCACCAGTGCCACTCCGGCAATAGTACAGGGATTGCTTTTTCCAGCTGTTTGATTTTGGAAGCTAGTGGGCAGCAGTGCTACCGCAGCAGACTTGCGCAACCGCAAGACTTGTGGCACTCAATGCACATTTCCTAACTCAGGCTGTTTGCTCTTTTCCGTTTAAATGGAGCATCAGGGAATTCATGGAAGCGTTGCACAACCTTGGCTTTGGCTCTTAAGGAAAGTAAGATTTTCATGCATTTTATGAAGTGTCAATGCATAATGTAGAACCAAAGAAAGAAAAAAAAAAAAAAAGAAAAGAAAAGACACAAAACCCCATTTCCCTCCACCAAACCACAACCTGAAGACATGCAAGCGGAGGCCACTGTTGACAGCTAAGTTCAGGACAGCGAGGTGCACATTTTGTACCGTAGAAAGCAGAAACTTTGTTCAGTGGGAAACAGAAGATGTCAACAATAAGCAGAACTTGTACTGCCCACAACCGTGACGCCTCATGGCAGCCGAT